CGTTCACTGACTCAGCTTTCCTCCTGCAGTCGGCATCATTGCCTCTGTTTTGTGAGGTGAAGGACTTTGCAGACTGTTGTTGGGTTTATGGGTAATGTTGAACTTGTGGGCTTGGGCAGCATTGGGTTGGGATGTTTTCGTGATGCACCTTTTCTTTACATAAAACTCTCTCTTATCCATGAGCCGCTGTGGATTTGTTTCTCCAAAGTACCTAGACTAATACACCCTCCCTGCCTTAGAGATCACATCCGCTCGTCCTCACCAAGGATGCTTTCAGCTGACCCGTAATGAATGGGTTCAAGAGCAGAAATGCAGGAAAAGGAAACAACGGGAAGGGTGGTCTCCCACGTCCTTGTCAGTAGTTTGTATTGTAAGCTATTAATACTTAGTAGTCATCAGAACTTCAAGTTGTTGGGGTGTTTTTTTTTTAAGAGAAACTACTGGTCAGTTTTTTGAAATAACTTTTTGAGTCCCTTAGAGTAATTTGAGAAGAAAAGTAGGGGTGCAATATGCCAGGTGTGGAGCCAGTCTATTTATTACATGTAATTTCAAGTGTCTTAAACAGGAATTGCCTTACTGCATTTTAATATTTAATAAAATATGTTAAATCATGAAAAAAAACACAACTAACCATCTTTCTCATTTTTTCTACTTTCAGGCTAAATCCACCAGATATCAGCAATAATATCTCTTGTTCCATGTCCTCTTCTGAATCCCAATCAACAGTACTTGACTTTCATGGTATTTTATAACAAAAAAATTACTTTACTAAAAATTGTTAGATAACTTCCGCATTACATTGTCTCGCCTTTCTATGGAATGGACAATATCATGGATGCAGAAAAGTCACTGTTCAAATTGGGAAAAAACATGGCAACATAGCAGAGGCTCTGTAAAAACAAATGAATTAATAAAAACTCTCCTCATTAAAAAAAAAAGACTTGAAAACCTATTTTCTGAACTTCCCTGGAAGAACAAAAACCTGTACCAGATGCTGCCTGGTAATTCAGAGAAAGGGAACCAGTATGAGGAATAAAAAAAAAAAAAAAAAAAGCCAAGGACTCTTGGTTGCCCCGCAGTAAGGCCTTGGAGTAACCCCCCCACCCCCACCCACGCCGGTTTCAGAACATCAGCTGAGTTTTCGGGGAAGAGATGAGCTCAAGCATGGTCTGTCTGCACAACGGTCCCAGCACCAAGACCAACAGACCCTAGTTCGGCTACACAGTCGGGGGATGTGGCCTCTTCACACATGTTCAGAAGAACAGATACCTCATTTTTTGAGTTTGCCAAACTGGTTGTTGAAACGGCACTTGTAATCAAGGTTCTCTGTCAGGTGTGTGGCTGGGCAGCCACCTCATGTGGAAATCACAAAATGACATTCCTTTTTTTAATGTTCATCTGGACAACGGTGTATTCTAAGCGCCCGTCGTAATGTTCACTCTATCCAGAGGAAAAATTAGAAGTATGCGTGTTCTATGTACTTAGTCATTCCACGAAATTCAGTATACTTTGGGAGAAGTGCTACATTTTTATTCCCTTGTGTCTGTTTCTTCAGTAAACAAACATATGACCCAAAGAGACAAACTGCCAAACAATCAGAGGGTGGCAAGCTGTTTCGGCTTTGTGTTATGTCCCAAAGTCCCACATGGTATGAGTTCACCGGTGTTCGCTTATGGGTAAAACCTATAGGAAGGCAGGACACCGTGAACCTATAGAAACAAAATCCACTCACTGCCACTGAGTGGATGCAATTTATAGCGACCCCTATGGGCAGGGGAGAACTGCCCCTGGGAGTTTCTGAGACTGTGTTCACAGGGGTAGAAAGCCCTGTCTGTCTGTCTGTCTGTCTGTCTGTCTCCCTCAGGTTTCAATGGCTGACCTTGCAGTTAGCAGCCCACCTCAGCACCGCTACACCCTCAGGGAACCAATAGAAATATAGATTTCAAAGGCTAAAAAAATTGATAAATTAATACTGCTGTAATCCTCAAATATATAAAATTTGTAGAAAGTCATCAATTTGTTGGGCTATTTTAATGGGTTTGGGGGGAAAAAGGCTAATGGATTGTGAACCTTTAGAAATAAGTTTAGCCAGTTTTAAAACAGAAATAAATTACAATTTCTCAATTTTCTGGAACCAGATTACTGGAATATTCAAGAAGTGCTAGTTCCATGGGAAGCAGCTGAAGAACAATTGCTTATATTCAGCGACATTTTAAATCACCAACTTGACATTAATGATTATCAAGATTTTGTGGGAAATGTTCTGAAAAAATTCCCAGAAATATGCAAATTCTGAAAGTGTTCAAAGAGTCAAAAATATTGTCAAAATAACTGCTGTAAGTCCAGCAGAAGTAGAAAGGAGCTTTTCTTTTCTTTTTTCAGTCATTTTATTGGGGGCTCTTACAGCTATTATAACAATCCATTGTGTCAAGCACATTTGAACATATGTTGAAATCATCCTTTGCAAAACATTTTTCTAATTGAGTCCTTGTTATCAGCTCCTATTTTTTTTTCTTCTTCTCCCACCCTCCCACCCTCTTGAACCTTTGATAAATTACAAAATATTATTTTTTTCATATTTTACACTGTCCGCTGTCTCCCTTCGCCCATGTTTCTGTTGTTTGTCACCCTGGGGGGAAAGGTATACATCAATCATTGCGATTGGTTCCTCCTTTCTCCCCCCTGCCTTCCCCTCCCCTCATGATATTGATACTCCCATTATTATTCCTGAGGAGTTTATCTGTACTGGATTCCATGTGTTGAGACCTCTGTGCAAGTGTACATTCTCCAGTCAAACCGGATTTGTGAGGTAGAACTGGGGTCATGATAGTTGGGGGGGAGGGAAGGAAGCATTAAAGAATTAGAGGAATGTTGTATGTTTTGTCAGTGTTATACTGCACCCTGGCTTGCTTGTCCTTTCCTTGTGACCATTGGGGATGTCCAATTGTCTACACATGGACTTTGGGTTTCCACTCCACCCCTCCCCCATAGTTTGCATCGATATGATTGTTTGCTTTGGGTCTTCTGATGCCTGCTACTTGATCCTGTTGACACCTCATGATCACATAGGCTGATGTGCTTCTTCCAGAAAGGAGCTTTTCAAAGGTCAACATAATATGTTCAGAGAAGAGAAGTCACCTGTTTTTAATATATCAAATACAATGACTACTGCCTACCTCTTAAAGAATGGGATCTGATTCTTATAGTGAAAAGAAGACTAAGGATCATCATGCAGCCAAGGATGCTAGCACAGAAGCAAAGAATATCGCAAGTCAGGGTGCCAACCAAGAAGCAATGTGGAAATACCTTAAATCACAGTTGTATTGTTTTTTTGTCAGGTATTATTTAATACATATATTTTTTAAATCATTTTATTGGGGGTTCATACAATTCTAATCATAATCCATACATACTTCCATTGTGTCAAGCACATATGTACATTTGTTGCCATCATCATTCTCAAAACATTTGCCTTCTACTTGAGCCCTTAATATCAGCTCGTCATTTTCCCCCTCCCTTTCCACTCCCCTATTTAATATTTTTATTACTATTTTAAAATTGTTATAACATAATCTAGTTTGGGATACCACTTTTGTTATATAAGTATTAACTGTATAAAATAATAAATTATCTTTTGGTATATCTTTTTTTATAGTTAAATGTCATTAGAGCAGCGACTGGTTGTGAAAGTCTTTGAATCCTACCACTGCTTCTATGCCAACACACTCGTGGTGCAAGGGGTTGGGGGGAGGTGCCTGGGGGAGTTGGACGAGGCACCAAATCCGTCCTGGGGAAGAGGGATAACCCACTTGTTCCCCAAGCCCTGGGTTAGACAGAGTTATAGTCCACATCCAGCGTACCTGACAGATAGGAGTGATACTAAGCCAGCGAGGGGCTCACTCTCAATACCTGGCTGGATTTCTCAGGACTGGATCTGGCACCACAGAGGAATGGGGCAACTCTTCCCTGGCTTGGGGGCAAGATCCAATTCTTCATTGATACTTGCAGCTGTTTCTTCTTGTTTGCGTCGTGCCCCATCCACAAATGGTGATCCTGAAGGCTTTACTCCACCCTTGGTGTTATGGCCAACTGGACTTGGAGAAGGCAGCTCTTCTTCAGTCATATTTTCAGTGCTTTCTGACCTCAGGGCCTAATCATCCGGCACTCTGACATACCCTGCTTCTCCTCAAGAGGCTGTGGGCTCTAACAATGTCCTATTGCTATTCATAAGGTTTTTCGGGGGTTAATTCCTCTGTTGTGCACAGTCTATTCCTTCATCACCTGGTTTTAGTCTGGAACCTTGCTGAAACCTATTCATTTTGGGCAACTCTGCTCTTATTTTAAATACCAGTGACATGGCTTCCAGCATCACAGCACACACTAGCTGCCACAGTAGGACAATTGGAGACAAGCGGTGTCAACCTGAGGAATCTGTGGTAGAAAAGGTGCTGGGCCAGACCGATGTGTTGTGAATGGGAAGGAATCTATAGATGCTTATGGTAGTTAGATGATTTTATTTGTTTTTTTATTAATCATTTTATTGGGAGCTCTTACAGCTAGTCTAACAATTCATACTTCAGTTAGGTCAAACATAATTGTACAATTGCTGCCACCCTCAGTTTCATAACATTTTCTTTCTTGAGCTCCTTCATATCAGCTCTTCTTTATCCCCTCCCTCCCCCAGGAACCCTAATTATAATAATACGTTATTATTATTATGCCATATCTTACATCCTCTAATGTACCTTTCACCTGCACTTCTGTTGTTTGTTCCCCTCCCATGGGTTTATCGGGTCCTCATTGCTCTCAGTTATCCATTCTCTCCCCCCTTTCTTCTTGTACTCTCAGGGAACCATTGCTCCCATTACTGTATCTGAAGGAGTAGTTAGACCATTTTATGTCAACTTGAAGATTTATGAAAATGTAGGAGTGGAGTCAAGCCTGTCAATCAAGTTGCAGCTTCATGACTCCATGATGGTAGAAGAGTGTGAGACCCTGGGCACTGCTCTCTCTCTTCCTCCTTGTTGGTTGGACCAGAGCACTGCCCAAGCCAGTGGCTCTGCTTCATCACATGTGCTGTGCTACCTATGGGACACCCCACACTTGACGCCACCTGTGGCCCACCTCACAGGGCAGTACTGTTCCGTGCTGCAGCGTGCTGCCTGCTGTCATCGTGCCACACCTCCATACGCCGCCCCACCAGCAACCACCTCACATTGCTACACCGTGCGCTTCCTCCACGACTTGCTTTGCCACGCTGCGCTACTGGCCTCCACCATGCTTCATCACCTCGCCTTTCTATTGTCTGCTTCTTTGGCCTTTGGGCCTAGCGGCTGCGTAAGTTGGAAAGAACTTCAATATCCTAACTGACCCATGAAAGCCGGACCTCCATACTTGCTGTGTGGACTGCTTTGCTGTTAAAATTCCTTTCCACTATATAAAGTTATCCACTCGTATCTACTCCTAAGTGTCCTGATTTTGCTTCTTTAGAGAACCCTGTCTAATACAATGGGATAATAATTGGGAAACTGAAGAAGACTTAGATTGTCCGGAACTAACCGAATCATTTCTTAATTCTCACAAAGCTGGTAGAGTAAAAGATGGTACAAAAAGAAAGCCTTCATCTTGCTGTAAGCAGGTTGTTGAATAAACAAAATGAGCAGAGACAGAGTGCAGCTTAAAGAGGCTTACTGGGTTCAAACCCAGCCTCTGCCGAGTGCTGAGGGTGGACCCTGAGCTTCGACCTGGGACATGCTTTTATAAGCATAAAACACACAGGTGTCTTTTTTGTTTTTAAGGTGAACTTTGCATTATCTTTAACTTGCAGTTTTTGCCAAAAAGCTGTTTGTACTAGCATGTGGTTTTTCTAAAAGTTACAATGTACAAAAAAAAAAAAGTGGAATATTTTGCAATAAGGCTTACATTTGCACAAGCTTGGGCACATTCTGCCATCTACTATTATTATTTCAGACCCAGATTAAATTTAACTTCCTTATCACACATCTGACAGTGGATCTGGTGACAGCAGATCAAAGGGGGGGGAAATGAGATGTTAACAAACCCTGGGGCTTTGCCTGAGATCTTGCTCCTGATCAAATCACCGTGGCACATACAGCTGGGGGAATTCATGTTTTCTTGAATGGAAAGATTCAGATGAGGCCGACTTGGTGCTGGCAAAAGAGGCAAGCATGAAATGCTCTCAAATTGTAGAATTGTAATGGGGTCTGATGAAAAGAGACTAACGTGGCATTCTTGTTCAGAAGATGAAACTCAATAATCGTTTACATTGATACATGTGAGTGTGTATATATATTGATATACATCATATATATATAAATTGTGAGTCCTGGTTTTTTAAGTATATATATTCCTCATGCTAATTGAAAAACAGGACTCACATTAGTTCTGGTTTCTTTATTAGTGTGAAAAATAAATATATTCTAAATTAAATTTTGATATGTTTATTTTGAAGTAGTATTGTAGTATTAGGGGAGTTATTGGGGTTACTTTGGGTTTTTTTTGCTGTTGTTGCATCAATAGCACTAGTTACATTGAACAAATAAAGCTTTTTGTAATTGCTTCATTTATCAGAAAAAAACATTTGATCCATAATATATTATTTCCACTGCATTAAAGAACAGCTTTTCTAAATATTAGAAAATTTTACTTAGTCATTACTGAGTCAGAACTTTTGTTTAATCCATACTGTATGACTAAGGGCCATGCTGGGTTTTTGGGGTTCTTTGTTTTTTTCTCTGTATAAATAAATACATTTGTACATTTTACTTTATTTTACATTCACCAAAAACAAAATTATTCTACACAAAAGTGGCATTTAACAACCACAAATATTCGCTATTGTCTTGGGAATCCTTTCCTTCTGAACAACTCAAAAATAGATCACCTCAAGTCAAATGGGAAAGGGAGAATTGTAAATCACAAGGTTTCAAATTAAATAAATGATCCAGTAATTAATTCGACAACTTTACAAATCTGTATAGAAATCCATCCATATAGAGTCATATGAAACTGTTTGCAATGAAGCTGTTAATTTGCAAAATTCCCTGAGTGAAAAAAATCTTACTACTACTTAAAATCTCCCCACTCAAATAAGAAAACTAGACTAATATTGGTATGTTTTAATAAGACGAGCAAGGTTTGGTTAAGTGGGCATCTGTCCTTTTTAAATAGCCATTCCTCTCCAGAAAGTTTAAATCCCTGTGTTATATTCACTAAAAGGTTGTGATTCGTGGAATGTCTTAAAATCTTGCTGTTGAAATCTAATAAGATGATGAGTTAGTTAATTGTGCCAGCCTGGCTGATAATCACATGTGGGGCTAATTGAAAGGCGGAGGGATAAATGGGTGGTGTGCCTCGCCTTTCTAGTTCTCGGGTCTCTTGCTTTGTGATGGTCGCACCAGGGTGCAGCTGCCTTAGCAGTTCCCTGCTTCAGCTTGCAAGATTGACTTCCTACAAGACATCCCCAAGGAGAAGCCACATGGACCTATCCCGATGCAGCCCTGGGTGCTGGAGCAGCCGTGTGGAGACCCCTGCTAGTGCTGAGATGCTTATTCGTTCACTGACTCAGCTTTCCTCCTGCAGTAGGCATCATTGCCTCTGTTTTGTGAGGTGGAGGACTTTGTGGACTGGTGTTGGGTTAATGGGTTAATGTTGGACTTGTGGGCTTGGGCATCATTGGGTTGGGATGTTTTCGTGATGCACCTTTTCTTTACATAAAACTCTCTCTTATACATGAGTCACTGTGGATTTGTTTCTCCAAAGTACCTAGACTAATACAGATGATTAGAGATGCTGAATTTTAGGACCTGCTGGCATAAATGGGTAAACAATCTTGTGATCTCAACCACTAACCTGCACAGCTTGTTTTGTTTTTATCCCAACCCACTCTTTACATGTAGGTTCCATCTTCTCAGCATTGAATTGTTCTATTTTATCTGAAGCCAGGAAAAATAACCTTGTAATACTTAGAATGTTAATTCAATTATATATTATTTATGGTAAATATTGGTGAACAATGGTCAATACATAGTGTTATATTCCTTTACAAAGCCTATCAATAACAACATTTCATATGAATAGGTTAAATTCACCAGTTAAGAGACAGACTAGTAGATGGGTAACAAAACATGAGCCATTAATGTGCTTCTTACAAGAAACACACCTCCGATAGAAAAACAAAAGCAGCTGATAAATTAAGGGTCAGTACAAAATGTATCATGCTAAGTCAGTCAACAAAAAGAGAGAGTAGCAATACTAATTTATGACAAAATTGACATCAGAGTAAGAGCCATCATGAAAGACAAAAAGGTGATTACAAAACAAGGAAAGCCATAATCAATAAGATATAGCAGTAATAAATATTTATGCATACAATGAAAGTCTCTCAAAAAACATAAATAACTGAAAAGGCAAACCATAACCATAACATTAAAGACTTTAATATTTCACTTTGGAGCAAAGACAAATCAACTAGAAAGAAAATCAGCAAAGATGCAGAAGTACTAAACACAATTAATTAACTGGATGTCTTAAACATATACAGAACATTTCTCCTAACAAAAGCACAATTAACAACATACCAGAGGGACTCCGCAGAATCCAGCCCAGGAGAGTTGCTTAGAGGGAACTTTAACACAACTGGAACACAGGAGGAGCATCATAAAGATAAGTAGGCACAGACCCACGGGGTTTTGAGGGGCTTGGGGCTTTTGGCTTACCTCAGTGAAAGTCGGCTGGGGCTTGACCTTGGCCCTGCCACTGTCTCTGCCGGAGCTGGGACCATTTGGAGCCTGTAGGGAGATTTGGTTTCAACACAGCCACAGTTTACCCCTGCCAGCCTCAGGGCAGGAACTGGACCCTTGCAGCTCCACGGGCAGGGATCAGGGTTCATCTACAGCGTAGCTTTTGTTTACATCTCTGCTCTCTGTTCTCCCACAGTCTGGGAGGCCTCTGCAGGGGCTTTTTCTCAGCACAGCCACAACTGGCCACCGCAGCCTCAGGGTGGGGACTAAACCCTCCCAACTCCACGGGCACGGATCAGGGATTGGGGACCAGCTACATTGTTGCTTCTGTTTACATCTCTGCTCGCTGTCTGCACCCCGCCCGCCCCC